CAGTTAAGAGCCATTTTAACTTTTTCAATTTGAAAATTTAAAATTCTTATACCATCACCCACAATTAAATGGTAAATATGAAAAATACATCTAACATAAAAAATATTACTAAATGCAGGATTTAGTGTAGTGGTAAGCAAATCTATAGCATTTGTGTTATTAATAGCATTATCCATTGAAACCGACATTATTTTATCACTAATGCAAAAATATCTGCAAATATCCGTAACTGTGTTAGCAATAAACTGTCTTGTGTGATTTGAAGTAATTATGCGCCTTTGCATTATTTAATCCTCATCAATTCAATGATTGATAACTATAAGGTAATCACAGTCGTTGCCACTTCTACCAATATCAATTGTAATAGCAACACGACAATTTATATGAGTAAATAAAGAGTGCAAATATTGTTCATATTTATGCTTATACTTATAAATATTGTTCTTTACGGTTGTGCGAGGAAAACTTTTATAAGTAGGATTAAAAAAAATTCTAATATAATGCACAAACGAATGGTCAGAAGGAAAACTATAGGGTAAGCACATAACAGTTACCATTTTTTCCAATTCTTCCCGATCTTTTTTGGGATCATAATAAATACCACTGGTAATGGTGTTAATTCCCGATTGAAATTTATTTGAACCGGTACTAGGTCAGCCTGACTAGGACTAGGTACACTTTTTTCATCAGCCAAAGCTTTCAGACGTTCATATCTAACTCTATCTTTAGGGTATTTTTTTATGTGTCTAGTCAAAGTTCCCCCCTCCCCCCAACCTCCCGCGATCCAAAATATTTAAAAGCTAACTCCATACCACAAGTTTTACACTTAGCCTTATTCTGTGGAACTAGTTGAGTAAAAATGGACAAACAAGAGATGTTTCCTACCGTATGGTAGGTTGTCTAGAAAAAGGAGGGGCAGTAACAAGAGTATCAGATGGGTCATCATTTGGATTAGCAGCGTTATCACTAGTTGGAGTAACATCAGGAGCAGGACTAGTGGGTGTATCATCATCCGGTTGAGTTTCATCAAAATCAATTTCCTCGTCATCATTTTCATCAATAATATTATAATTATTAGAATAAAGAACATTCATTAATTTATAGTCTAATTGTTCACCGGGTGAAATATTATGGCAAAATTGGCTATCGGTAAATTGTAATAAACTATTATCGGTATCAAGAATAGCAGGTGTAGGATGAATATGTGATTTGATTTGATTCCAGGAGCCGAGGGCAGGGGAGGAGGAACAACAGTACCACTAGATTCGCCACTCTTGGATTTTTCCTTATTCGTATTTTTACAAAAAATATTTTTAAGGAAGACATCTTAATTAACCAAGTAATAGCAAATAAATAAAATAAACAAAAACTATAATATTAAGACTTAAGAGTTGGAACGAGTTTACCGAATTGACGAGCAACTTGTTGAAAATTGATTATCGTTGAAGACTTCAATTCACCAACTTCATACTTTTTTCACAAATTGTAACAACCTCAATATTTTTGTACTATTTGTTGGAATAAAGAAAGCAATAGTAACAAGTATAGAAGAAAATTAGAGAGAAATTGTGATAGATTGATATTGATTTTGTAAGAAAAATTAAAGAATGATGGTGTATTAATAGTTAAAAATAGGAAAAAAATGTAATTATAAAAAATTTGGGATTAAAACAAAGTTGGGGGAAAGGGGATTAAATGGCAATTTTTTAATGCCCAATGACTGTTTTTTTAAATAGCCAAACGGCTACTTTTTTTAAAAAAAATTACCGTTTGGCTCGCCAAGGGATCGATCCAGTCCCGGTCCTTTGGCGGGCCAAGCAGTCCCGATTCTAACGGTTCAAGGGCAAAAATCAGCCTATGAGACCGGCCCAAGCCCACCTTTAACGGTCCTATCGGTCCTGACCCATTTATCCCATTTGGTCCGCGGTCTAGGGCCAGTTCCGTCCCTGGCCCAGACCGGCCCTTTTGCCAACCTTAGCAATATCTAAAGGTTGGGTTTGGGGTTTCATCCTCTAGCAGATATCATTTTTTCGGACTAGAATTAATAGCCCATGTACTGGGTTAGGCGTTTATATGATGGTAGTGTCGCGCATCTACAAATATAAGAATTTTTTTTAATATATAAATTTGAACACACACCTAAATCTTAAGATATTATTTTTAAATCTTATACTGGATGATTAAAACTATTTATTTTCTCAAACAAATGTTGAGAAAATAATCTTTATTAAGAATTTAATAAATATAACATTCAAATAAAATAACTTAGATATTATATCCATAAAGTACTAGGTTGTAAGGTGGTGGCTAGTAGAGACTGACTTGTGGTATTTGGCGGTGATAATGGATTATGGTGGTTGTTATACTGTGGAGTGATGGTGGTGATAGTAGATGTACAGGGTAAAATTGGAGTATATTAAATAATCGAATGACAACATGACACGTGAAATCGAAGACATGTAGAAAATAAATTGCGTAGTAACCAGTACCGGAAACAACAACTGCAATTGACTTCGGGCTGACCCCCAAAAGAATATGATCAAGTGAGCAGAATCAAATGCTTGCCATCGGATAACATTCAATGAAGAATAATCCCTGGCATTAATTAGTCAGCCGTTGAGAATATTTGCATTCATAGCCTGCCATTATATATTCATCAATGACCCTCTTTATTGTCATTTAAGAAGGGCTTGATCATAGGATCTTGTTTCCCCAGGTATAGCTATAAATAGTAGACTCAACAGCTATTGTAATATACGAAAATCTTGGCAAAACTTATGCTATATTCCATTCTCAGGCTAAATAAAATACTTTACTTGCTCTTTATAATATTCTCATTTCTATCCCCGGAGGCATTGTTTTCGGAGCCAAGCTTATCATTTCTTTTGATTTTAACTAATTTGATCCAAAAATAATAAATAAACTATATTAAAAATAAGACTTAGCGGTTAAAATAAATAAATAATTGAGTTTACTTTTTTTCACCAATAAATAATTTCCCCTCAACTTTGAGTTTAGTTCATTAGAACAGAAATACGAATACGAAAACTTGGGGCGGTGAGGTTTCCCTGCAATTGTCAGGTGACAGTGAATGAGTTGCCCATCTAGTGAATCCAACCTCTGTCTGCTGTGTCTCTTGATCGGCAGTGGCCGCAATTGGAATGTGAAGGGCTCGAGTATGGTGTAAGTTGAACTTGTAACGGGCTTTCATTTACGTGTATTACATCATTGTGTAGTAATTACACGATCTAATAAGGCAGAATGCATAACTGGACCCTTAAATTTGGTATTTTTTGTCATATGAACAATTAAATATAGAGTTGTTCCCATCAGCCCCTTCAACTAAATCGCATTTGTGCCAATTAGACACTTTGTAGACCATCTGAGAAAAACTATTATAAAAATTAAATGAGTGTGTTACAGTTGTCTCTAACACCTTAAAATATTCCACGTTATAGAATTAACCTCCAAAACAAATTGAAACTCATTTTCAGAAAATGGAAAACCTGACCATCGGCTCTGGTGACTTAGTGCCCTAAAAAGCTCATTGAAAATTTCCTCCGTTCAACTTCATCTCACTTCTTCTTGTTTCGATTTCACTGAAATATCACGCTATTCTCTCTATTCTTCGTCTAAGTTGGTGTAGCTTACGAGTGCCGTGTAAAGAGAACAAGCATGCCAAATGAGAATAGTCAAATTCATGTACACTAAACTTTCTTTTAAAAAATAAAATTAAGAAGAAAAATGATGGGTTCACAGGAGGAAGAAGAGAAATAGAATGTAAGGTAAAAGTTAGCTTTAATTGGAATAATATATTAGAATATAATAATAATCAACAACCTTTTTCTCATGTTCACGCACCCTTTCTCACGCACTCAATCATGTCACTACGAAGTATCTAATTGACACAGATGTGATTTAGTTGAAGGGCCTAATGGAAACAACTCTATGTTTAGGTGTCCAAGTGATAAAAAAAGCCAAGTTTAAGGGCCAGTTATGTATTCTGCCATCTAATAACTACACGACATAAGCTGCTTGTTGGTTAATATAAAGTCATCACAGTGTAATGTCAACGTGATTATACAAATAGTAATTACAAAATTAGATATTTCTAGTTTTGAAAATAAATAGTCTCTTTATTCCACTTTATGTGACATAATTACTGTTTTGAGAATTAAAGGAATTTTCTTTTACCATAATCTGTTTTAAATACTTTTAACTGTTTTTGAATTGTTAACTTATAATATATTTTATATAGTTTTTAAATATATAATATTTCTTCCCCAAAAAACTCAAAGACCCTAAATTTAAATTTACACCAGAAAGTAAGTAGTTTGACCCTCACGAATTATGTCACATAAAGTAGAACGGAAAGAGTATTAAATATCAAAATAAGATACGAGTTTGTAAAGCTACCGTATCTTGGAATATAGGTAGACTTTACCAAAAATATGGTACAATAAATTAAAAGTATCTATGTAGGTATACCAATTAATTAGGATAAAGTTATAGTCACATTAAAGTGTCAATTTAGTTGAATATTTTTTAGGAATCTTTTGATTTTATCAGTGATTTATATATTAGTAAAAAATATTAACTTTTTTAATTAATTTTTATTTTATTTTATAATCTTAAATAAAGATAAACTTAAATAGAGTAATATGAAACTAGTGAACTCATATAGCCGGGTAAAACTTGATTATCTTGTTAAAAAAAGCCTATTTGCAACAGAAAATTTTAAATTTTTAAAAAAATATATAATTTGTTTTGGGAAAGTCACGTTTTCGTTCTCTTGGAGCGTGTACATGTAATTTGCCCCTTCAATTGACAAACAAGTCAAATGATTTAATTAGTTAGGATTACATTGAATCTAATGTTAATGTGGCTTTTCAATTCAAATCACTCATTAACTCATCAATAATTGCATTCTTATCTCTCTCTTTCCCATTCCCTAAACAAGTCATTAACATTTAATTACGCAAACTCCTTAAATTAAATATTACGCACATCACTTTCTCTCTGTGCATTTTGTTTGCGATCTCCCTCCGGTATCCACGCCCTCTTATGTTATCTTTTCAGCTGGATTCTCTCTTCAACTCTCTTCCTCCACTTCTCACTTAATTTTTCATTTTCCTCCACAATTTTCTTTTCCAATTAATCCAAATACCAAATCAATCTCAAGTCAACACAAATTCACTCTTCCATTCCAATTGACTCGATTTTTCTTCTGTGTTAGGAGCGTCGAAGGGCTGAATCTCATCGAATTGGGTATTCAAATGGTTGATTGCCGAAGTTTGATTGAGTTTTGTAGGGCATATGAGCAGCATAAAAACATTATCAAATTCAATTCCCACATCAACAAAAAAAACTCATATAATAATCAGAAAAATTCATTTTGCTGTGATCACTCACCTTTTGCTGTATCACTTGATGCATTTATATTACTCTTAGTACTCGGATCACTAGGGTTTCTATTAATCCCTTATTTCAAATTAATTTTCACCCAAATTTCCCCGATTATAGTTGAAGTTTTGATCGAGTTGATCAACAATTCTCCTGTAGCGTATTTCGTCGGATTGTTCGTGGCGTTGATCGGAGTAATAATTTTAATTGTAATTTGGGAAATTATTGATTTGAGATCGAGGAAGTGTGAGAATCCGAATTGCCAGGGTTTAAGGAGAGCAGTTGAATTTGATATACAGTTAGAATCTGAGGACTGCATAAAGTGTTTGCCATCGGATCGGGATTTGAATTCGAGCTCGTTTTATGATTATGGAGTGAAGCCGTTGGAGTTAGGGGAAGAACGAAAAGAGTTGGAGGCAGAGTTGAAGAGGATGGCGCCGCGTAATGGACGGACTGTGCTTATTTTCAGAGCTCCGTGTGGATGTCCTGCAGGTAGATTGGAAGTTTGGGGGAATAAGAAAATTCGTAGAATTAAGAATAAATGAATTTTTTTTGTAGTTTGTTGAAATTCTATGAATTATATGAATAAAGTAGGAGATACTGAATAGTTTGGACATTTTCTATTGACTCTTATGGAATAAGTAATGATCATTGGTGATTATGCTCTAGCAATAATATCTGTGATTATGGATCCGATTGCGTCTTGCATTCTGGGATAAAATTATCTAATGTTCTTCAATTAGCACTTTTACTATAAATTATGAAGTTAGCTTTCGTCAAAATTGTACGTCCTCAGATTTGTTATCATGCCAGTTTTTCTTGTTTGTAATTATCTTACAATCTTATTCAGTTGCATAGATTGCCAAGTCTAACAAAATGGCCAGGTTTTCTGATGCTTGTTGCCTCTCCTCCCCCTTTACTTTTGGTAATGCTTTATTCTGCTCCCATCTACTTGGTCAAGGGATAGATGAGTATAAAGAAGGAAGGAGAATTTTTTTCCTTCTTTCTGTTATATAATCAAAACTAGTGTTGAGTAAGAACATAAATGTTGTTGAGTTTTTTTGGAATTCATTGCCCAGGACCGGTTTTATCTTTGTTTTTTTGTCCTCTCCTATGCAGTTCTGTGTGTTTCAATTCTGAAGTCTTGAACCTCACTGGACTGATTGTGCTCCTTATTGTTTGGTTGTCATCCTATTGGTCTTTTAATAAAATGCCGAAGTTCTCTGAAAATATATACCTGCAAATTACTCTGAGAAAGAATATAAGTACCTGTAAATTTCTGATTGGTGAAATAAAAAATATCTATATAATCAATATGGTTGTTTCATGTTTGTTGATTTGAAAACCGTGGAGCTGATAGCAAGCCTTTTCTAAATAATTTCATCATGTCTTTGCATGTGATGATGTATAGCATGAAGACAAGACATTTTCCGGCATCATCAATTCTTCTATCCTTTTGGTGTCAAAGTAACACGAGAGACACGAAATGGTAGTAAGATGACTGCAGTTCCAAATAATGACTATTAGAATGATAAAAAGAGAAAAAAAGGTTTAAAAAAGAGATTGTCATTGCACGATTGCTCCTTCCTTATGTCCTTTCTTACTTTTCTGCTCCCTTTGCAATTTTTACTTAAGGAGTCTGTTTTCAACCTCCATTTGTCTTTATTATACATCTTGCTAACTTCTGTATGTCGAGCAGAGATATTATCATGGGGTATTAGGTCCGATAGAGATGTGGACAGAAGCTTGCCTGATAGTTTAGGGATTGCTAATTTCCTCAGTTTGCCCAATTTATTTATCCTATGAAATTGGTGATGAGGAACATATGTTTGCATGTATCCGAGGATTGATATGTTTTGTTCCATTAGAGACTTTCTGATGTCTAGAATTCTTTTAAGTCACCCGATAAACCGATCTTTTCTTTCTCTGACTTGCTTCTTTTTAGTAATGTTATGTTTATCTCTTACTGCATTCAGATTCTTTAATTGGTACCAAAACCACGTAAGCAGGTAATAGAAAATTTCAGGATGAAAGAAGGTTTCCTAGTTTCGTTCACAATGAGCTAGCCTTGGCAATGCAATAGATGGACTTTGATGAAAATAAAGTAAACGTGCTACATATGAGGACTGCTAGGTATATCTTGTGCAGAATCTGGCTAGTCTGCGACCATTTTTTTGTTGAATTACATTCTAAATGGGTCTGCGACCTTTTTTTGGTTGAATTACATTCTAAATAGTTTGTAGCATTTGCAATGGATGATAGAAGGGAATAAACGTATCATTCTTCCTTCTCAAACAATTGTTAGTTTTAAAGCTCTTGGAATTAGAAGATGGAGTTCTTTGTGGCACTCATATACCTAGTGTCCTAGTCATTTGACTGGATATCCAAATGGTAATTTTAGGAGGATTTCTTGAGGTGTATCTTTTTTACTGACCAAAAAAAAAGATCCAGGTTTCCATTGACTCCCTTCTTCTTGTGCGTGAGAAGGAGATGAGGTCATTTACAATATGTTGACTAACAGGCACATAATCAGATAAACTTAGTTGCAACTGTTTCAACTGCAGGAAGTTGCCTTAGCTTGTTCATGTTGTAGTTCTCTTTTTTATAGGGGAAAGGTATGCTTGGCCCAAAGGATTTTTTTTTTTGGNAGTGCAGGAGTTTGAAAGTCAACACATTCGAAAACTTTCCTTGGTTTTGAAAGCTCTACCTATGGGCAAGGAGGCACGAGATGTCTTTTATTCAAAATTTCTTAGTTAATTTTGGCATTATGCCAGGGAAGACCCAGTGAGAGGGGTAGTGGTGGACTTGTAGTTCCTTAAAGAAATTACCTTTGAGTTGTCTTCACTGTTATGAACTTTGGGATCTCTCTACCCTTTTCCCTTTAGTGTCCTCACACACACGCACATACACCAGGTATGAAAAGCATACCTCTACGATCAAAGTTAAGAAAGACACTGGATTGGTATGGTTTATATTAGGTGCTTAAAAACGAGATTAAACTTTCACAGGTATTTGTTCCAAAATTTCTCTTCAACTTCCCTGTTTCATACTCCAGGGATGGTTGGTGCAAGTTATGGTGTTTAGACATCTCCAAAGATGACGAACTTTTTCCTGCTCCCTTATTATAGGCATGGTCTTGCTTCTGCAAAATGTGGAGATTGAGTAGAACCTTGAGACTAGTAGCTATATGAAAAGAATAATTGAATATAATTTTTTGCTATGAATACGGGGAACATGTCTTAAGACTTATGATAATGCACGTATGGTGATATGCTGTTCCTTTTAAAAGCATGCTTCCTAATAGCTTCTGAGAAAGTACATTGATCGAACATTACAACTAAGAGGTGAATTATATCGAGTTTGCATGATCAAATTCCTATCCTGCCACTGACAAAGGCGTGCATTTAAGTGGAAAAGGGCAGAGGAGCAGACCCATTATTTATCGAGTTTCGAACCGTGCACCATTGGCTTCGGGATTATCAAAAACAAAAAACAAAGATCGTCAACCCCCCCCC